ACTGCTTCAGTGACTCCATCCAGCCACCTCCTTCTGTCGTCCCATTCTTCTATTGCCCTCAATCTTTCCCAGCATTAGGCCCTTCTCCAGTGAGTCCTTCCTTCTCATTAGGTGGCCAAAGTACTTGAGTTTCAACTTCAGGATCTGGCCTTCTAAAGAGCAGTCGGGGTTGATCTCTTCTAGGACTGACCGGTTTGAACGCCTTGCAGTCCAAGGGACTCGCAGGAGTCTTCTCCAGCACCATAATTCAAAGGCCTCAATTCTTTGTTGCTCAGCCTTTCTTATGGTCCAACTTTCGCATCCATGCATTGCAACTGGGAAAACCATGGCCTTGACTATACGCACTTTTGTTGGCAGGGTGATGTCTCTGCTTTTTAGTATGCCGTCTAGATTTGCAATAGCTTTCCTCCCTAGGAGCAAGCGTCTTTTAATTTCTTGGCTGCAGTCCCCATCTGAGGTGATTTTGGAGCCCAGGAAAATAAAATCTGTCACTACCTCCACTACCTTTGAACCTTAGCAATAAATAAATACCATTTCAAATTCATTTTTTACAAATTCAAATCCATAACTTTTCTTGTCTACATTAAATCTTTCCTTAAGTTGAAAGTATGTGGGCCAATGGCAAACATATCTTTCTGATTCCAATTCTTTTTTAACATGACAGTAGGATCACCTTGGCTAAGATGTATTAACTGATCATAAGTCCCCCAGTTTGGTCTCACCATCATTTCTTTTCTTAAAAACAAAAAAAGCTTCCCGAGGTGACATCAAAGAGGTACCTTGTGGAAGAGGCTTATTTTATATTAATTCCAAACTCCTAGCATGGCACCCCTAGCAAAATGATTCTTGAAATCAGCATTTATTTTAACCTTATCATACCAGAGCTAGGTGTGCCGTCCAAATCATAATTCATGGCCCTCCAAATCTAATAACTCGATGTAACCAGTCTTACATCGAGATCAAACAGCAAGCATTAAAGTACAGGTAGTCCTTGACTTATAACCACAACTGAGCCCAAAATGTATGTTGTTAAGTGAGAATTTGTTAAGTGAGTTTTGCCCCATTTTACAATATTTCTTGCCACAGTTTTTAAGTGAATTACTGCAGTCCATAAGTTAGTAGCCTGGTTGTTAAATGAATCTGGCTTCTCCATTGACTTTGCTTGTCAGAAGGTTGCAAAAAGTGATCACATGACCCCAGGATGCTGCAACGGTCATAAGTATGAACCAGTTGCCAAGTATCTCAATTTTGATCACGTGCTCATGGGGATGCTGCAAAGGTTGTAGCTGTGAAAAATGGTCATAAGTCACTTTTTTCAGTGCCGTCGTAACTTTATATGGTCACTAAATGAATTGTTGTAAATTGAGGACTACCTGTACAGTGTTCAATCTGGTAACTCAACACCACCTCTTTCATTAGCATCTTGCAACAATTTCTGTTAAAATCTCAGGGCTTTTTCCTTACCATATAAACTTAGAAATATGCTTTTGTTGTTGTTTAAATGGAACATCAGTTGTTAATACTGATAGTGTCTGGAATAAAAATGGCATCTTTGATAAAACATCTTAATTAGAGAGATTCAGCAGAGATAATTGCACAAAATCTCTAAGACATTATTCTCTTGTCCTGGTTAATCATCTCCAGCAAAGGAAAGTCTCTATGTATATCATATGCAACAATATTTCATGGAAGAAAATCTTTTATACAGGCTTTCTGAATAGGATATTCAAAGAGATTTGGAAAAGATCACACTATCATATACAGTACAGATAGTCCTCGACTTACATCAGTTCATTTAGTGATCGTTCAGTTACAATGGCACTGAAAAAAAATGACTTATGGCTGTTTCTCACACTTACAACCGTTGCAGCGTTCCCCATGGTCACATGATCAAAATTCAGACGCTTGGCAACTGACTCATATTTATGACGGTTGCAGTGTGCCTGGGGTCTTATGATCAGCTTTTAAGACCTTCTGACAAGCAAAGGCAATGGGGAAACCAGATTCACTTAACAAGCGTGTTACTTAACAACTGCAGTGATTCACTTAACAACTGTGGCAAGAAAAGTCATAAAATGGGGCAAAAATCACTTAACAAATGTCTCACTTAGCAACAGAAATTTTGGGCTCGTAAATCGAGACTCATCTGGGCTCGTAAATCGAGACTACCTGTATATGTCACAATAAATAAAAGGTAATCTTTTATCTCATACTGCACACATACAGTGGTAGGAACATTTGGGGGGAGGGAGGGCAAGTTTGAGACCGGCCTCAGCCATAGAAACTCCCTGAGTGACTTTGCAGGAGTGCAGTCTCTTTCTCCCTCAGCCCAAGTGACCTCAAACGGTTGCTGCTTTGGAGAAAACAGGAGAAAAGATCTACATAGGTTTCCCAGAGCTCCTGATAAAAAAGGTGGGATATAAATCTAATATGAAAAGAGATCATGAACAAACAAGAACCTGTCTTTAACGGAGGGGCCAGAGTCTCTGAACTGCTTTCACATGTTGCCTTATTCACCCATCATTCTCTCTTGCAACATGGTTGGCTTGGACTTGACTTGGAATTTGTCATCCAACTATTATCATTTTAAGCAATGATTTGTGGCTTCGCACAGCCAACAGTGACTCACTCAGTAAATCAAGGTTTAAGTAAGGCATGGCAATCAAGCCCTGGTAAAGAAGCCCTGGTTTTAAGCTGTGAACAAGATATGTGGCCAAGTTTCTAAGTTCCTGCATATGACTTGTTGATTATCCCACTAACCATGACAGAGCATTGCCCTTGGAGACTCCTTTTTCTGCCATGTCTCCTGATATATTTTATTTATTTATTTATTTATTCATTCATTCATTCATTCATTCATTCATTCATTCATTCATTCATTCATTCATTCATTCATTTATTTGCTAATTCTTTATTTATCAAATTTTTAAAACCCGCTCATCTCTCTTATAGAGGGATTCTGCGTGGTGTACAAATACAATCTTAAAAACATTTAATAGAATAACAGAATAATAGAGTTGGAAGGGACCTTGGAGGTCTTCTAGTCCAACCCCCTGCTCAAGCAGAAGACTCTACACCATTCCAAACAAGTGCTGTTCAGTGTCTTTTTAAAAACCTCCAGTGATGGAGCACCCACAACTTCTGGAGGCAGGTTGTTCCACTGATTAATTGTTCTAACTGTTAGGAAGTTTCTCCTTAGTTTTAGGTTGCTTCTCTCCTTGATTAGTTCCCATCCATTGCTTCTTGTCCTGCCTTCAGGCGCTTTGGCGAATAGGTTGACCTCCCTCTTCTTTGTGGCAGCCCCTCAAATATTGGAACACTGCTATCATGTCACCCCCCCCTAGTCCTTCTTTTCACATACCCAATTCCTGCAACCATTCATATGTTTTCTATTTATATGTTTATGTATTTCCTGCTCTGTATGTAAAAAGTATACAAAATTTTAAAAGATGCTAAAAATTAATTGTATTGCCTTCATTTCATCTCCAATCCATGAGAGACACCTTTAGCTATTCTGGTCTTAAAGGAGCATTTTCTCTCTTATATCAGCCCCATCTAAAGAGAACCAGAAAGGATGTAAAATGTGGTTAGCTTTGCCACCTATTAACTTGCAGCAACCGGGAGTAACAAAATCAGGATAGAGATGGACCATCAGGAAGGCAAATGTCAGACTGGTATAATTTTCTTCTGAAGGATGGAAGCAATAAAAGCTTCCAAATCAAAAGACAAACAACTGAACAGAATGGCTAACCACAATTCAGGAAACCTTTTTAATCAGATTAACTGCTGTCTCTCGTTTCAAAAGCCACAGTTGTACAGATTTAAACCCTCAGGGTGATTTCAGCGCTGTGATAAGATACACTGATGAATTGGTTGCTTGTGTGTGCAGGAGAGAGAGACAGATTGATTCGCTTTTGTTCCTTCCTGAGACTGGTGGCTTATCAAGGCAGGTAAGAGCAGACTGAACTCATGCCGTTTAAGAAGGGGCTGGGCAGCCATTTGTCGGAAATGGTAGAGGGTCTCCTGCTTGAGCAGGGGGTTGGACTAGAAGACCTCCAAGGTCCCTTCCAACTCTGTTATTCTGTTAATTCTGTTATCAATATCCCGTTCAAGGGAACTGCTGGCTTCGCATACTCTCAGACGCCAATCGATTGGATAAGTGCCTCTAAACTGTTTGCCCTTTTCTCACAGACTTAAACTTTTTTGGCCCATTTTGAAATTCAGCATCAGTAGACATTTCAGTCCACTAGGGACTTTTTTTAAAAAATGTAAGGTATTACACAGTTGTGCATTAGGCAGCAACCTTGTCTCCCGTTCCTCCTTATCAGAGAAGAAAGCTACACCGGTAGAATTTCTGCCTGCCTACCATGTTGCTGTGAACAGCCCAGTCGGAAGCTGGCTCAGGGTAGAAAAGAGTCCAGAATAAGCCTTAAGATTTTTAATTTTTTTATTATTTTATTTTATATTTATGTCTTATTTATTTTTTTTTGCACCGGCCATTTGGACCGGCAGGCGAAGGGAAGTTCGACAGCGAAAGCTGATCTGGGGCGAGCACCACCCACACTTCCAAACGAGACGCCTGCAAACAGCTAACCTGGTTCGTGTATACATCACACACGGGACCGGCTCCTGCCTCGCCTCGCCTCGCTCTGCTTGCCTTCCGCGTCAAGGGAGCCGCAGAGCGCCCCGGATTTCGTAGCATCCACCGCGGCTTCCTTCAGCCGGGAAGTAGCCGGGCGTCTCCTCAAAGCCCATCCACCCAGATCCCGAGCCGGGCTGGCCGACTCGCTCGCATCCCGCAAGGCAGGAAAGTTTTGCAATGGAATCAGAGGCAAATCGACGAAGAGACGCGCGATCCCCGGAGCTGCTGGCGCTGCGGAGGTGCTGATGGACAGGCGCTGCCCGGGTCCTCTGCAAGCGGCGCCAGATTCAGAAAAGTTCACCCCCGTCCAAAGAAGAAGCCGAGAACCGGAGAAACGGAAAGACCTTCCCGCTCCCTGATGGAGAACGCCTCCAACCACAGCCAGGAGGCCTGGGAGCCTCAGGGCCCGCTCGGTGGCTGGAGGGTGCTGGCAGGGTGCTTGCTGTCGCTCTTGGTGCTGAGCACCCTGTTGGGCAACAGTCTGGTGTGCCTGGCCGTCCTCCGGTTCCCCCACCTGCGGACCAGAGCCACCAACTGGTTTGTGCTCTCGCTGGCCTTGTCTGACCTTTGTGTAGGGTTGCTGGTCATGCCCTGGAAAGCGGTCGCGGAAGTGGCCGGCGGGCTATGGCTCTTTGGCAGCCTCTTCTGTGACACCTGGGTGGCCTTTGATATCATGTGCTCCACAGCCTCCATCCTCCAACTCTGCATCATCAGCCTGGTTCGCTACTGGGCCATTGCCAACCCCTTCTGCTATGAGCGGCGGATGACTCCATCCTTGGCCTTCACGATGATCACCCTGGCCTGGACCCTCTCTGTCCTCATTTCCTTCATCCCTGTCCACCTCCACTGGCACAGCGCTGAGGTAACCCCTGGTTTGCTTCCCTATCACTGTGACCTTCATCTCAACCGTACTTATGCCATTGCCTCCTCCTTGATCAGCTTTTATATTCCTGTCTCCATCATGATTGGGATGTATGCCCAGATATTTCGCATCGCTAAGGCTCAGATCCGTCGCATCTCCTCACTGGAAAGAGCAGGTGGCCTGTGCTTGGTCAAGGGGAAGGAGCCGGTTTCTTCTCTGCGCAGCTCACTGTGCAAAGAAACCAAGTTGCTTCAGACCTTGACCATCATCTTGGGAGTTTTTGTCTGCTGCTGGCTGCCGTTCTTTTTGCTCAATTGCCTGTTGCCCTTTTGTGACTCAGGGTCCAAGGACAGAAGCCCTGAGCAGGTGACCTGCATCAGCCAACCCATCTTCAATATTTTCATGTGGCTTGGCTGGGCCAACTCCACCATCAACCCAGTAATCTACGCTTTCAACGTAGACTTTCAGCGGGCATTCAGGAGCCTGTTGGGTGGCCATCATCTTCCTTGTTGTGTCCCCAACCATTCTGTCACCCAGAGAGTCCATCTGAGCGGTGAGTTGACCTCTTACCCCCACAGAAAAGATGAAGATTCCCCATTGGCACTACCCACACGTGCTGTTGTAGCTTGGAATGAGCCACTGCCCTCCACAGCAAGCATCCAAGGGAATGAAGAGCAGTATGGAAAGCTCATATCAGAAAAAGAGATGCTTCCATCCTCTCCAAGGGCTTACAGAAGCAGTTCCAATATGCCAGTTTTGCTTCCCTTTCAGTGTGAGACTGAGCTAACTTTAGAAACGGATATTCCCCGTGATGGAACTTAGACACTCCCCAACCTGATCTCAGAGGGGTACTGCTGGCCCACATATACCTAGATCTGAAAACCACATGAGAACATGCTAGGAAAAAAGAAGAAGAAAATGAGAGACTGACACACTTAAGGGACTGTTCTGCAGTGACTGCTATGCAGAACTAGGCTATCTCTAGAAAGTATATAGCAACCCAAAAGGCTGCTGAATTTGGACTAAGTAGCTCCATGAATTCCTTTCCACAGTCATCTAAATTGGTGGTCATAATCATCTCTGACTTTTCTAACTATGACTGCATCTGGATAGCAGTTGATATGTTGGTTTGAGAGTATAAGCTTCTACTTTTTACAAGATGGACTTAACACACATATACACGTGTACATTTCTTCCTCCCATATAATGTCAGAAGAAAGAGTTTTAACTTATCTTTTCTCCTGACATACTAGTTTCCAGTAAGGAAAGTGAGTATGTGTGAATAGGTATCTCTATTTGAAATGCTACAGCTCACGTTCAGATTTAGCACTGCAGAGAGGAGGATGCTTTGCAGAATAGTTGAATTATTGTTGGTTGTGCAGTCAGCCAGATGTTTAGACTGGATTTTCATTTCTGTCCACCTATCAAGTCCTTCCTATAGACCTGAGATAGGCAAATGTTGTCTATTATTATGTGAAAGTGAATTCACCAATTCTTTAGCTGATATTGGCTTTCACTGAGTTCTTCCCAAGAAACTAGGACGTTGTAATATATTAGTGTAGTACATGTGCTGATCCAAATAGTGTGGCCATTTGGAACTGAGGGAAATTTTGTCAGTGCACAGATTTTCTAAGTGCTGTCCAAGATTTTTTTAGTTACTCTTAGTTACTGATAATCACTGGGACCAACATGGCTGATTTATGCCATAATCTTTCAACTTTAGTTTTCAGATCTTAATACTTCTTCAGTTCTTTGTCTTCTATTTTACTATTCCCTGGTATTGAGACCTCAATAAACTACACTTTCTTCTTTTCAACAACAGTTAAATCTGGTGTGTTATGAGCCAAGACTTTATCAATTTTTATTTGAAAATCCCACAATATTTTAACGTGCTCATTTTTTATTACTTTTTCAATTATATGTTCTAAGTAATTTTTCATTACTGGCACATGATAATTTTTACAGGTGTTACATTAAATCATTTGGCTACTATGTTGTGTCATTGTTTATAATTAGTTTGCATGATTTTATGATCCTTTGTTTCTTCTGTTTCTTTGCACAATCTGCACTTTAAATCACTTGATGATTTTTCAATTCAAGCCTTGATTGTATTACTTCAAATAGCTTGTTCTTCAGCTGCCAAAATCAAGCCTTCAGTTTCTTTTTTTCATGTTCCTGTTGTAAGTCATTGCCAGATTTCATCTTTATCCACCTTCCCCTTGATCTTTTGTAGAAATTGACCATGTAATCGATTTTCCTTGTCAGCATTCTGTTTGTGTATTTATTACATTATTTCAATATTCATGTTTTGTTTCCTGTATATTCAATAAGTTTCAATTTTAACTTCCATCAATTCTTCTTGGCTGTCTTTTACATAAATACCCAATGCATGCTTTTCTTTGACCATTTGTTTGACTTGAAATAAATCTCAGCCTCCATTTCTGCAGAATAGGTATAATGTATCAATATTACTATGGGGATGTAATTCATAATAGTCTTCTTTCTTTCTTTCTTTCTTTCTTTCTTTCTTTCTTTCTTTCTTTCTTTCTTTCTTTCTTTCTTTCTTTCTTTCTTTCTTTCTTTCCAGTCCAGTCCAGTCCAGTCCAGTCAAGTTTGTTTGTTTGTGTTCAGTTATTATTATTACCATTATTGTATATTGCAAAGAACCTTAACCAGGATGGAACATCTAAGAAAATATGAAATTTCATACAAAATATTAAACTGATTTATGCAAATTTGTACTAAATTAAACCTATGACTTATTTCCAAAGGTTTAGATTGCATCCAAGTAGAACAATATTCAGTGCTTTCCATCTGGCCCAAGGATATGTTTAAATGTTTAAATCATGCAGATTAATTATTTATTGGGTATAAAAATAAAAAATAGATATTGTAGTGTAGTGTAGAGATTTTTGCTTGAAATGCATACTGCCAATAAATACATTAGGTATGCATGTTTTTGTTGAGAGAAATAAAATTTGAAAGCTCTGTTACATGAACTTGGCAGTTGCAGTTGTTTATTTTGTTTATTTTGTTTGTTTAATTTAGCAAAAAGCAGCTTTGTGTGAAGAGGAGAGGTAGGTCTAAGTAAATGATATAGCCATTACCACTTTCTAGCCAAGGAATTTAGCTGTTAATTAGGAGAGAACTGTTAAGACTCAAAAATATTTTACCATATGTATCTTATTAAATTAATGGTACTTATTTTCTTTAGGCATAAGAGCTTATGTGTACATTTTAATCTTCCCATCCCAACCTTTCACAGACTGTACAATTTCTAAAGCTAAATTCCTTTTGATTGTCTTTAAAATGTTAAATAATAGAAAATCAGACATGGTTTCCTTAATAAATCCCTGTAATCTAAAATATATTATCAGAATATAATCACTTGGCTAATTTGCTTGTATTTATTGAGGCTTTGGAGTGAGTTTGAAAATATAGTATACTGCTTGTATGTAATTTAACACTTTTGCAATTGCATAAGATACTGTTCTACGCTGTTGTTATTGTGGACATAAAGTCAGTGGGCAACATCAATCCCAGTGAAAATGTGATTACACAGGAAATGTAAGTATTTGTTTCTCACTTCTTTTGTTCAGCTCCCTGGCAAATAAAATCTTCTATCAAAAATAAATTACTTTTTGAGGACAAATCAGTTGGACATTAAAGAAGGCATTTTCAAAGCTCAGTATGATTTTGCCCTAATTGTATCCTTTTTATTGGAATCCTGTGTAATTAGATGTGCATGATAGCCTTATTATACTCCTTTTTGGACACAGTAACAATGTTCTAGTAAACAAAAGAATCTTTACTGATTCTACATTTTGCCTTATCTGGATGAATAACCAAAGTCACCTCCATATTCTTGAGTTCCTGCTGCTGCTGTTGTTACTATCATTGCTTACCCCCCCCACACACCAAGATGTTTGTGGCAAATGAGACTATAATGCTGCTTGCCATTTTGGTTTTCCCCACAATTGTGTTGGAACATCCAACAGAGCATTCCGGATCTAGTTGTTGTGCATAAAGGACCACATAAATCCTGGGAGTTGGAGTCCTAACCCTACTGAAGAGCACCAGGATCAGGATGGCAGGATACGCTCATATAGGGATCATGTCTTGTAAGGTATCAAAAAAGGAGCAACAATTAAGTGTCTACATCCTAGATCAAGTAAGTGTCTGTATACTAGATCTCTAAAGGTTATTTTTGATAGTATGATTTTTGGTTTGTAAAAGGGTGCATGTGTGCTTAAAGTGGTGCACAAAACCTTTGAGGCTATCAGCCCTCCAAGGTGAACTAGTTTAGGAAAGCAAAGTTATGAATGATAATACCACTTTTATTATATGGTTACAGTAAGAGAATCTTGCAAGTCTGAATATGCTTCCCCTCCCCCCTCTTTATCTTAATGGGGGTCATATCTGAGACACACTCTTAAATTATATGTCTGCTCTGGGTTAAAATTTCTTTTATCAGATCCTTGCCTTGAGAAGGTTGCAACTCTTCTCGAAGTTATTTCTTCTGCCCATAACAGCTAATCTTTAAAAAGAAACTCTTGGACATAATTTCCATCCCTACTCAAAGGGATTGATAAGGTTGAATGTTCTCCCCTTGCCCGTTGTGGTAATATCACTGCATATTACCTGCAATCCCAAGTCTGAAAAAAAATCATCCCAGTCCTATAATCTTTCTGAATGACGTCGAGCCACTGGCAATTTGTCAGGTCAAATGTCTATGGAGATTCTCACCCATCCAAGTCATGATTGCCCCAAGGGTGCTTTTCTGAAAGGCAACTGGATTTTCTTGGTTGAAGGACTTTTTTGGAAAAGCATCTTTGGGATTGTCAGTCAAATCAACACAGTCCAACTCTTTTCCAGAACTGGGGGAAACAACAACAACAACAATAATAATAATAATAAAGTTGGAAGGGACCTTGGAGGTCATCTGGTCCAACCCCCTGCTCAGGCAGGAAACCCTATACCATTTCAGACAAATGGCTATCCAGTCTCTTCTTAAAAACTTCCAGTGTTGGAGCATTCACCACTTCTGGAGGCAGATTGTTCCACTGGTTAATTGTTCTAACTGTCAGGAAGTTTCTCCTTAGTTCTAGGTTACTTCTCTCTTTGGTTAGTTTCCATACATTGCTTCTTGTCCTTCCCTCTGGTGCTTTGGATAATAGTTTGACTCTCTCTTCTTTGTGGCAGCCCCTGAGATATTGGAACGCTGCTATCATGTCACCCCTCATCCTTCTCTTCATTAGACTAGACATACCCAATTTCAGCAACCGTTCCTTATATGTTTTAGCCTCCAGTCCCCTAATCATCTTGGTTCCTCTTCTCTGTACTCTTTCTAGAGTCTCAACATCTTTTTTATATCGTGGTAACCAAAAGGGGTCATTGAAAAACAACAAATGGAATGTATGCTATTTCAGGCTCCTGGATGACAGAAGGAATATAAACCCAAAGTATAAATAAACTAATTCTATGGATTTAAATTATGCCCACATCTCCGTCCAATAGAATGATCAGGACCATGAAGAGATGTAAAATAAAATTAGTAACAGAGTTCCAAATGACACCATGTCTATTTACAACCCTCATCCCTTCTATTATTTTTTTTTTTCAGACAAAATCTGTCAAGGAGAAAGCAGTGGGATTGTGGTGGAGTGCCTTCTGATTTAGTAGCACTCAGGAGCCTTAACATGGAAGCACCGAGAATCAGCTAATTTGTTATCTTTTACTTTGATCAAATTCAGTGTGTGGGTATCTTCTATTTGTATCAAGGAGATATACTTTCTTCAGCTCTCCATTCTTTACAGGAGGCT